ATATATATATATATATATAGAATTAGAAAGTCAACCAACCCAATTAGCTCGTGCAACCACGTTTGTAGCAGTCCAAATAAGATTTTAACAATCAACTAAATTAACAAAAGCACTCCTAAATCGTGTGCACCATCTTCTCTTCTCATTAATTATCAACCATTCTATTTAATTTTCTCTCTATATATCCTCCTAATTGTGTTCCTTGTCTTGATCACCCCCATAGTAATTAGCTAAGCCATGGCCTCCTTATCCCCTCTCATATTGCTCTCATGTTTTCTAACTTACTACATTGCTCCAACATCTCAAGCCTATTCACCGGGCTACTACACCACGACCCCCAAAACCACCATGAACGTAGTCGACTCATGTTGGCGTTCCAAGTCCAATTGGGCCATTAACCGCCGCGCTTTGGCCAACTGCGCAGTAGGCTTTGGCCAAGACACGGTGGGAGGAAAATATGGGAGTACTTACATTGTCACCAACTCATACGATGACCCCATAAACCCTCAACCTGGGTCACTCCGTTACGGGGTGATCCAAACGCAGCCACTGTGGATCGTCTTTGCCAAGGACATGGTGATCACACTAAAAAATGAGCTCATTATGAACAGCTTTAAAACCATAGATGGTCGAGGAGCTAAAGTGGAAATTGCCTACGGACCATGCATAACGGTGCAGGGCGTTAGCCATGTGATTATACATGGAATAAGTATTCATGATTGCAAGCCAGGGAAGGGTGGAAATGTTAGGAGCACCCCTACACATGTAGGGCACCGGCGAGGATGCGATGGAGATGGCATTAGTATCTTTGCTTCTTCGCATGTTTGGGTTGACCATTGCTTCCTAGCACGTAGCAGCGATGGCCTCATTGATGTCACCCATGCTTCCACCGCCGTCACCATCACTAACAACTATTTCTCTCAGCATGATAAGGTAACCGTACACAAATTATCTTAAATACATATTATTTTGATCTATAAAATGACCAAGTTGTGGCTTTTCAGGTGATGCTGCTTGGACACAATGATAATTTTAGTGCAGATAAAGGTATGAAAGTCACAATAGCCTTTAACCGTTTTGGGGCTGGCCTGATTGAAAGGATGCCACGGTGAGGGGGAGCTAGCTTAGTACTATATATACATTTTTTTTCACCAGCGGTAGTCAGAACTACTCTAAGAATGAATTCAAATTATTATAATAGAAAACAAGAATATATATATCTTATGTTTTTGTTTTTGTTGTGTGAAAACAAAAATAATAAAAAACAGGGTGAGGTTTGGGTATGCTCATGTGGCCAACAATAGATATGACGAGTGGAAGATGTACGCGGTTGGAGGCAGCGCTAACCCGACCATTTTCAGTGAAGGGAACTACTTCATAGCGCCTGATACTGCTTACGCAAAACAGGTTACAAAGAGAGAGTCTGGAGGACGTTGGAATAATTGGAAATGGAGATCTTCCAGGGATGTGTTCAAAAATGGTGCTTTTTTTGTTCAATCTGGATATGGAAGCTGTTACCCACTTTACTCTAAAACTCAGTCGTTTAAGGTCCTAGACGGATCCATGGTTCCTGCTTTAACTTCAAGTGCGGGTCCTCTGCGCTGCTTTGTTGGTAAAGCATGTTAATTTGCTTTACGTACGTACGGTACCACATATATATATATATATATATAGAGAGAGAGAGAGAGAGAGAGAGAGAGAGAGAGAGAAACCTTTTTCCACCTTTAAGTTTTGTGTAATATTAATTGAAGTTGCATCTATGGATCTAATAGATCTATTATCAATCGTCTGCAAGTCATCCAAATGTGTTCCTATACACAATTGAGAGATGGTACTAGTTAAATATTATATCTAGATTAAGAAATTAATTAAACTCCTCTCTTTTTGTAATTAGTAATAATAATAATATATAGAGAACATGATGATGTGCCTCTCCAGTGGTATCATTGGCTGTTGTATAAACAGGGGAAAGAATTAAGAGACAGCAAGCATGTTGATGATGTTCAAAAAGCGCAAATTTAAAATATCAAAATCATCAGAAAAGATGAACTAATAGTGTTTAGAAAAGCCTATTCTCATTGCTTTGAACCCCACATGTCACTGGTGCTTTAGCTTTCGCTTTCTTCAAGTCCCAAATTCCAGCCCCAACCCCGAAGGCTCCTACAACCGACACTCCAGTAACAGTCCCTGCACCCGTTACCAGACATATACATATACATATATATATATATATGCAACTTATTAGCTCCTTCAACTTTAATAACATATATCAAATAACAAAAAATATTGCAGAGAATTATCAATTACCTGCAATTACACTATTCCTCCTATGCTGAGAAATGCTATGATCTGCACAATTGTAATTAAATCGTCAAAAAAATCATAGACTTATAAGAGAAGGGAAAAGCAGGTCAGACAAATTAATGCCTCAAACTTATGTAACTACCTTTACAATAAGTAGTCACGTTGCCCCGGTCACATAAGCACAAGAAATTCTGCGTTAAGGTGTCGAATCCACACATCCCACCACCTTTGGATGTGTCCTGACACTGAAGGCAACGGGTGGTCACCGGAATATCAAAATCTACCCGAATCCCGTATTCGGGGACTTGATCATCAGGCTGGTTTTCCCCAGTGTTCCTCCAATACACACTAGTATAACTTGCACAATATTTCAACATCAGCCTCAGAGACTCGGTGGCTTTGGGATAATAAGAACAGCAGGAACTGGTCCTCAATGCCAAGGCACACTCGGGTAAGTGCCTGCAAAGATAACTGGAGCTGTCACAGGACGAGTCACACCTCTCTGGAAACCTCTCGCAGAAGACGGGCTTTGGCTCAATGATGACGTTTTGTTCACTGCAGTTGAAGAAAAGGTAGTCGTTTTGAGAGGAGAGTGATAAGTGCGTGCTGGTGTCGAGGCTAAAAGGCCTTGTGGCTCTAAAATCGTCACCATCTTGGCAATTCCACATGAAAGGATCGGTGACAAGAATGTGAGGGTCAGAGTAGCTTATGGACTTAACAGGGTATCTTCCAGAAGGTGTTCGGAGCTCGAGTTTGGACAAACCGGAGCAGACCAGTAGGTTTTTGAAGTAAGGGCTGCCGCAGCCATCGTCAATGCCGAAAGGATAGTTGATTGGAATGTTGCCGCAAGAAGTTCTGCAGAGGCTGGCTTGAGTTGCTGTGAGGGTGAGAAATGGAAGGGTGAGGAAAATGAGAAGGACAAATGTAAATGTCATAGAAGTTGATATTGAAGGGCTGTTTTGATATGCTGTGATGAGTTTTCTGCGTGTGAAGAGAGTAGGCATTAGAGGAGACATGAGATGAGAGAGGGTTAGTGATTGATGGTGTGCCACAGCCACTGCCAACAAAAGAATTGGAATTTGGGAGTGTAAGCAAGCAAAGTATAATATAATTAGATGAGTGTCTACGTAAAGTGAAGTCTTATTAGTGACTGTGAGTGTTCCACTTTAATATTATGTCTTTTCGCTTTTTCCTTTTACTTTGTTATGCTTCTTCTGCTGCTTTGCCATTTGTTGTCATTTGTGGCTTGCTGCTTTTGCTTTCTGGGGAAGAGATGAGCATATTGGAGACCAAGTAATGATGGAGCTACCCAGACCAAATCCACCATCTCCCAATCTATGGGGAGTCCAATGAAAAGAACTCCCAAACTCTAAGGGAGCCAAGAGCTACCCAGACCAAATCCACCATCTCCCAATCTATGGGGAGTCCAATGAAAAGAACTCCCAAACTCTAAGGGAGCCAAGAGCTACCCAGACCAAATCCACCATCTCCCAATCTATGGGGAGTCCAATGAAAAGAACTCCCAAACTCTAAGGGAGCCAAGAGCTACCCAGACCAAATCCACCATCTCCCAATCTATGGGGAGTCCAATGAAAAGAACTCCCAAACTCTAAGGGAGCCAAGAGCTACCCAGACCAAATCCACCATCTCCCAATCTATGGGGAGTCCAATGAAAAGAACTCCCAAACTCTAAGGGAGCCAAGAGCTACCCAGACCAAATCCACCATCTCCCAATCTATGGGGAGTCCAATGAAAAGAACTCCCAAACTCTAAGGGAGCCAAGAGCTACCCAGACCAAATCCACCATCTCCCAATCTATGGGGAGTCCAATGAAAAGAACTCCCAAACTATAAGGGAGCCAAGAGCTATCCAGACAAAGTTATGTTGAGGAGCCAATAAGCTCACCAATCTAAGCCAAACTAATCTAAACCAAGGGTGGTGGCCAATAAGTCAAAATAAGGATTTAGTCCACACCAAGTCATGTACTATTCTCCTCAATCTAATAAAATCACTTTGTTTCCCTTACAATCTAATATTTTTATGTCTTTTTTCCATGAGTTTACTCGACATGAGATAAATATTTCTCCTAAGCCACCCCAAAATCTTATATGCTCTCTCTCTCTCTCTCTCTCTCTCTCACCTTCCCATTGTAATATAAATTATAATCCCTTAGATTTTTCTAAATAAAATTGTATATTTCAGTAGACATAGTCGGCATTGATGATCGATCAGAGCAGCATATATAATATATGAATAATGTTACTCTTACCATATTTATATACCATATCTTTATATCAACTTATGTGGCAGCTGAGGTGGACAGCCACATCAATTAAAATTATATAATATTTTCTTTTCTTTTATGATTTATTCCAGTATTTGTTTTTCTAATTATCTTAATTAAAATACACTTCATCGATTTAATTGATGTGACATATAATATGGGAGCATTACTCATAATATATATATATATATATAGAATTAGAAAGTCAACCAACCCAATTAGCTCGTGCAACCACGTTTGTAGCAGTCCAAATAAGATTTTAACAATCAACTAAATTAACAAAAGCACTCCTAAATCGTGTGCACCATCTTCTCTTCTCATTAATTATCAACCATTCTATTTAATTTTCTCTCTATATATCCTCCTAATTGTGTTCCTTGTCTTGATCACCCCCATAGTAATTAGCTAAGCCATGGCCTCCTTATCCCCTCTCATATTGCTCTCATGTTTTCTAACTTACTACATTGCTCCAACATCTCAAGCCTATTCACCGGGCTACTACACCACGACCCCCAAAACCACCATGAACGTAGTCGACTCATGTTGGCGTTCCAAGTCCAATTGGGCCATTAACCGCCGCGCTTTGGCCAACTGCGCAGTAGGCTTTGGCCAAGACACGGTGGGAGGAAAATATGGGAGTACTTACATTGTCACCAACTCATACGATGACCCCATAAACCCTCAACCTGGGTCACTCCGTTACGGGGTGATCCAAACGCAGCCACTGTGGATCGTCTTTGCCAAGGACATGGTGATCACACTAAAAAATGAGCTCATTATGAACAGCTTTAAAACCATAGATGGTCGAGGAGCTAAAGTGGAAATTGCCTACGGACCATGCATAACGGTGCAGGGCGTTAGCCATGTGATTATACATGGAATAAGTATTCATGATTGCAAGCCAGGGAAGGGTGGAAATGTTAGGAGCACCCCTACACATGTAGGGCACCGGCGAGGATGCGATGGAGATGGCATTAGTATCTTTGCTTCTTCGCATGTTTGGGTTGACCATTGCTTCCTAGCACGTAGCAGCGATGGCCTCATTGATGTCACCCATGCTTCCACCGCCGTCACCATCACTAACAACTATTTCTCTCAGCATGATAAGGTAACCGTACACAAATTATCTTAAATACATATTATTTTGATCTATAAAATGACCAAGTTGTGGCTTTTCAGGTGATGCTGCTTGGACACAATGATAATTTTAGTGCAGATAAAGGTATGAAAGTCACAATAGCCTTTAACCGTTTTGGGGCTGGCCTGATTGAAAGGATGCCACGGTGAGGGGGAGCTAGCTTAGTACTATATATACATTTTTTTTCACCAGCGGTAGTCAGAACTACTCTAAGAATGAATTCAAATTATTATAATAGAAAACAAGAATATATATATCTTATGTTTTTGTTTTTGTTGTGTGAAAACAAAAATAATAAAAAACAGGGTGAGGTTTGGGTATGCTCATGTGGCCAACAATAGATATGACGAGTGGAAGATGTACGCGGTTGGAGGCAGCGCTAACCCGACCATTTTCAGTGAAGGGAACTACTTCATAGCGCCTGATACTGCTTACGCAAAACAGGTTACAAAGAGAGAGTCTGGAGGACGTTGGAATAATTGGAAATGGAGATCTTCCAGGGATGTGTTCAAAAATGGTGCTTTTTTTGTTCAATCTGGATATGGAAGCTGTTACCCACTTTACTCTAAAACTCAGTCGTTTAAGGTCCTAGACGGATCCATGGTTCCTGCTTTAACTTCAAGTGCGGGTCCTCTGCGCTGCTTTGTTGGTAAAGCATGTTAATTTGCTTTACGTACGTACGGTACCACATATATATATATATATATATAGAGAGAGAGAGAGAGAGAGAGAGAGAGAGAGAGAGAAACCTTTTTCCACCTTTAAGTTTTGTGTAATATTAATTGAAGTTGCATCTATGGATCTAATAGATCTATTATCAATCGTCTGCAAGTCATCCAAATGTGTTCCTATACACAATTGAGAGATGGTACTAGTTAAATATTATATCTAGATTAAGAAATTAATTAAACTCCTCTCTTTTTGTAATTAGTAATAATAATAATATATAGAGAACATGATGATGTGCCTCTCCAGTGGTATCATTGGCTGTTGTATAAACAGGGGAAAGAATTAAGAGACAGCAAGCATGTTGATGATGTTCAAAAAGCGCAAATTTAAAATATCAAAATCATCAGAAAAGATGAACTAATAGTGTTTAGAAAAGCCTATTCTCATTGCTTTGAACCCCACATGTCACTGGTGCTTTAGCTTTCGCTTTCTTCAAGTACCAAATTCCAGCCCCAACTCCGAAGGCTCCTACAACCGACACTCCAGTAACAGTCCCTGCACCCGTTACCAGACATATACATATACATATATATATATATATGCAACTTATTAGCTCCTTCAACTTTAATAACATATATCAAATAACAAAAAATATTGCAGAGAATTATCAATTACCTGCAATTACACTATTCCTCCTATGCTGAGAAATGCTATGATCTGCACAATTGTAATTAAATCGTCAAAAAAATCATAGACTTATAAGAGAAGGGAAAAGCAGGTCAGACAAATTAATGCCTCAAACTTATGTAACTACCTTTACAATAAGTAGTCACGTTGCCCCGGTCACATAAGCACAAGAAATTCTGCGTTAAGGTGTCGAATCCACACATCCCACCACCTTTGGATGTGTCCTGACACTGAAGGCAACGGGTGGTCACCGGAATATCAAAATCTACCCGAATCCCGTATTCGGGGACTTGATCATCAGGCTGGTTTTCCCCAGTGTTCCTCCAATACACACTAGTATAACTTGCACAATATTTCAACATCAGCCTCAGAGACTCGGTGGCTTTGGGATAATAAGAACAGCAGGAACTGGTCCTCAATGCCAAGGCACACTCGGGTAAGTGCCTGCAAAGATAACTGGAGCTGTCACAGGACGAGTCACACCTCTCTGGAAACCTCTCGCAGAAGACGGGCTTTGGCTCAATGATGACGTTTTGTTCACTGCAGTTGAAGAAAAGGTAGTCGTTTTGAGAGGAGAGTGATAAGTGCGTGCTGGTGTCGAGGCTAAAAGGCCTTGTGGCTCTAAAATCGTCACCATCTTGGCAATTCCACATGAAAGGATCGGTGACAAGAATGTGAGGGTCAGAGTAGCTTATGGACTTAACAGGGTATCTTCCAGAAGGTGTTCGGAGCTCGAGTTTGGACAAACCGGAGCAGACCAGTAGGTTTTTGAAGTAAGGGCTGCCGCAGCCATCGTCAATGCCGAAAGGATAGTTGATTGGAATGTTGCCGCAAGAAGTTCTGCAGAGGCTGGCTTGAGTTGCTGTGAGGGTGAGAAATGGAAGGGTGAGGAAAATGAGAAGGACAAATGTAAATGTCATAGAAGTTGATATTGAAGGGCTGTTTTGATATGCTGTGATGAGTTTTCTGCGTGTGAAGAGAGTAGGCATTAGAGGAGACATGAGATGAGAGAGGGTTAGTGATTGATGGTGTGCCACAGCCACTGCCAACAAAAGAATTGGAATTTGGGAGTGTAAGCAAGCAAAGTATAATATAATTAGATGAGTGTCTACGTAAAGTGAAGTCTTATTAGTGACTGTGAGTGTTCCACTTTAATATTATGTCTTTTCGCTTTTTCCTTTTACTTTGTTATGCTTCTTCTGCTGCTTTGCCATTTGTTGTCATTTGTGGCTTGCTGCTTTTGCTTTCTGGGGAAGAGATGAGCAT